ACCACCACCACCACCACCACCACCACCACCACCACCACCACCACCACCACCACCACCACCACCACCACCACCACCACCACCACCACCACCACCACCACCACCACCACCACCACATACCTCGAGGCCATACAGCGCTTCATTTCGAGAAGGCTATTTGTCTGTGCTTGTGTACGGGGAAGATTACAGGTAGAATTTCCAGCAGTAAACTTTGACTTGTCGATGATCAGGCAATGACATTTGTAACTATCTACTTGACGGAACCCCAACACGTGCAAGAGAAGCGTCTTCTTTGGAAAGAGTCGGGACTGATGCGTGGGCTGGAAATGTCATTATTCCGGTCGTACAATGCACCGTAATAACTCACTCCATAATGCGAAATTCTCGCATGAGAAGACCTCCTACTGCACTTTAGAGGATGAAAGGGAGGAGGTGTTGCATCATCCTCCGTACTGCCGCTCCTATTAGCTCATTTGAATGCTACCACTTTCCATTGGTATTAGATAATCCTATTACCAAATTGGATAGATAACTGGAAAGCAAAAGTGAGATTGGAAATGGCTTAGGCTATTTTATTCCAAAGGCAATGCGCTTTATCAAATTAGAAATCGCATGTTTGAGGCTCGTTAGAAAGGGTTTTGAGATTGTTAAAAACGATTGTTAAAGAACAATATCAAGTTTATACGAAAAACTTTCTTAAAATCCCGGCAAAAAACATAATTTCGGTACGTTTTTTGCGGCTTCAAATGCCTTTAAATAAATTCTCAAAGTTACTTTCGAACTCTGACCGTGACTAATCATTCTGCAAGCATGACCAAAGGGGTCACTCTTCGGTCAATAGGTAGTGAAGCCGAGACCATTTCAGGGGACATGACCTTTCGTGAGCGCAATATATCATCGTTGGGCTGTGTCGGGACATCAACTGATTTTATAAGGTGAAGATAAAACCACCCTCTATTTCATATGCAAAGGTGGGCATAAAAGCACCATTGAGCGTGTTATAATTATTAACAAATCATCTGAACGACCAAAGCTTTTAAAGGGAAAAAAAATTAATTTGGATTGCTCTTAAAAAATAGTGATGTGTTGATTCGCTCAGCAATACACGATGGAAGCCAGGACTCACCTCTTCTGGCAGTCAGTCAGTGAGCCAACAACGCTACCCACACGATGCTTTTATGGGATGCACGTGAAGGAAGTGAGGAAGGGATTGATAGCCTTTCGAACTAGTCTTCATTTGTTGCTAATGCATGGCATTCGGGTGGGCGACATTTGACTAGTAGGTACCACCTTAATCACCTACGTTGCATTATTTGCAACACTTTGGACAGGAGTGAAAGTGCTACTTCCTTGCCAAGTTAATCTCGAACTAGCTTAGTCAACAGTGACACAGAATTCTTCATTATAATTATGAATGGGGTGTCTTCTATAGAGTGGTCCATCAATCTTGAAGTAATGAACTTTCATTGCGGTAATCAAATTGGTCAAACAATGACCAAATGATACGTTGTTCTGAAACCGCACTTTCTGCAAATGCCATATGCCGGGAGTTGGGGGGAACTGGATTCTGTCTCGGGCTCTAGAGGCGAGGTAAACTTGAATCGAACGGCAGACAGGTTTGAATAACATCAGTTAGATTTAATCGGCGTGATTAAAACCGGGGATTTGAAGCGGGAGGAAATTAGCAAGTCCAATAAGGGCATGTGAATCCATGCAGTATGGTAGCATTTTAAAAAACACTGCATTGGGGCCTAATGAAAACCACGCGTACCTTCTGGCCTCCTGATGGATCCGGCGGTCTCAGTTTGTACACGATTCTCTTTGTCCTTTCGGTAAATGCAACCCACATCCGTTTTTATTACTTTCTTTACCTTTTTTTTTTAATTATCAAGTAGTACACTTTAAACTTTTTTAGGCGGGACTCATCCGTCGTTTTGTCAAACTTTCAAAAGCTCTTTTATTTACATCTGATAATGTTGAAGCCCTTTTAATTATCTGCGCCTGGCTGCTGCAAAATATTATCACCTTACCCTCGATAGAAAGCCAAATGTCAAGACTGCTTTTCTGAGCATACGTTTTGGTGTCCGTCTGAATTTCATACTATCCTTAATGATAAGGTTTTACTCTATTCATCAAGGTAATGGCTGTAGCTGCTGTTGTATCATTACTCTGTGCAAGGCAATAGAACCTTATTTCCAATTCCTGGTGTATATGATGATTCGAATAAATTCCCGCCCTTTGGCAGGCGGATGCCTTTGGTGTATCATTTTATGGTCATATTTAGTCCAGCGTGCCAATTCTTCTACATTCTGCAATGATTTAGTGCCACTTCTGCCGCACATTCATCATTTTAACAAAAAACGCGAAAGTCATTAGAAGGACTTGTCATTTTATCAACTTTTTGGATGACAATCACTAGTATTTCATCATCGCGTATGCGCCGCTATTCTAGTCAATAGATTTTCAGAAGGTACTGATCTCCTCCCATTTTCCTACTTTAAATGGAGGGTTATAACACTACTGTGGTGATTAAATACATTCAATTTTGTATATAGAACTAATTAATATTATCAGAAAATTGAAGTAGCCTTTCGCGCTCCCCTCTTGGTATTACCCGTTGAGACACCAATGTGACAGAGGATATTTGTATAAAGGTCACATCTCCTGAAGTACACTGTTCTGTGTTACGTTTCATTGCGCCGTGCTATCTATTGACTGTAGAATGATCATTATGGAATGGAGAATTTGCATTAAATGATCCGAACATGACGTGATACAAGCTTATTCATGGATGCACACTTTTGGTTAGCTGAAGGTGGTGTTTGACTCCTTCAGCTTGTAAGATATACTTGTTTAGAGATGGAGAAAGGGAACTGAAGAAGTATAAAATGTGTCTTATTAATCAACAATATTAGTCACTCTCACTGGGTATTTTTTTGAGACACACATGAAAACATGCTATGATGAACACATGCCTATACCGTATTGACTGTCGCCTTAGTTGTCTTTGAATCAAACAGTATTGTCGAGAAAATTTGTTGCTTTACCTATGGACGAAATAAATTATTCATGTTTGCTTTTCTCTAGGGGAATAAGCGTTTTTACATTCTCAAGTGGATAACAAATTGGCAGACGAAAACTTAATTAGATTCATCGAAAAACTTTCATTTCGAATCGCTTGCGTTGCCATCGGTGATCACAGATAAATTTTTTCGTTGAAGTAGGATTTACTCCAAATTGGATTGTGAGCAAATTGAATGGTTCTTAGACCTGCTTTGTGATCACATTAGTAAACAAAAGAAATTCACCTTGTCTACCAATCGAAGTGTTTTTTCAAGGCGTGTTCACCCTTCCACCTCACCATATAGTAGAATAAATACAATGGAAAGTTGGAAGTTGTCCACTTTACCAATGACTTCAAGAAATTTACGACATTTTCAAGTGCTCATTCACTATAGCAATATCTGGATTCAACAAACAAGTCGATGTGGTGAGGGGACCTTCTTTGCAATTTTAATTCTTTATTTGCATTCGTTGAAATTGGTGGGTTTGGGATCGGCTGTGTGAATTTACTGGTGGTAAATTAGCCATTCATTTGGTATTTCTACTTTAAAAATCGGTGAATAATTTGAAGTTTTTTATTCCAACTGAACGAATCCCACAAAGAAAACTGGTTTTGAATCTTTTGTAGCAAGGTACTTCGTATACTGACTTGTTTATTAATATTGAAAGTTAGCATCAAGACCACCAGCTATAAATTGCTGGCTACCAAAGTCCTGAAAAATGGCCTGATTCGTTGCTTGGAAAACATTTTAGTCAGTTTAATGTAATTTACTAATTTTGAAATCACGTTGCTTAATTTTTGGAAGTAAGTGAGTACACAATGGTGGCTAGTTACAATATTTTGGCCAACAAAAACAGCAAAGCCTCTTTGCTGTGTAAAGTGGGATGAAGTTGCGTTGCATCTTGTGCCTTATGGACTCTACCAAATAACTGCAAACAAAGCAGAAGAAAATAATAATTTCAAAGCAAAATAAGATGTTTGCTTAGAATTAAAAGCTAGAGTTCAGAGATTTTGGTTTTCGGTCGCAATTCCTTCGATCCAGCTTTTTTGGTGACTGCGTACTTTGCTCTTTACCTGCCAAGAAAAAACAATATTTAGTGCTACTCTTTGAAGAAGACTGCAACACTTTTAAAAACTGCCTGGCACTCATTTTTCCTTGTAGTTAGTGAGTAAATTTTGCTGGATTTTTTTGTAACACTCAACACCTCTATTGCACAATTCCTTATTTCGAAGGCGCCGGTATTGATACGATTCAAGATGAGGAGGATGATCTGAATGTGGAACTGTAGATGGAATGAGTATAACACAAGGGCGTTTCACTACTTTGTTTCCTCCATCAGCCCTTAATTGAAGTTTTTGTTGAGCCGAAGAAGGGTATGACTTTCCCCTTATTTTCTGTGAGCCGATTTAATCGAACAGAATCGAAAGAACTACATTTGTAGCCGCTTATTTGTGTGGTATTCGCTTTGACTGTCTAGCTCCTAATGGCCGTGGTTGTTCAGTTGGAAATGGATCTCCATTAGAGATATGGGATGCTCTTGAACGTTTCTTATAGTGTGACTCAGTAAACAGATGTGGATCTGAAATGCCTGAAGTAGGTAGCGAATGAAGGGAAATTCATACTGACGTTAGAGGGCATTTGTCGTGATTTATGAAAGTAATCTTGTCAATTACGTGACTCCTAAACAGTAATAATTCTGAAATGATCAGATCCTTTCAAAGCATAAAAGCAGTATCGAGTGATACTTGTATTGGGTGACAAAGTTTGTATTTAAAGTATGCTATCTTAAGCGCCAAAGTGGCAACAGAGTTATAGCATTTCTCATTAATGTACAGAAGAGGTATGGTGGGAGGGCGAGCGAAAGTACGACCCACAAAGCCAACCGGATTAAATGCACAAGTAAAAGATGGTCCTCTTTTTCCTTTGAATTTCGTTCCCGGTGTTTTAGTGAGTCACGCCTCTGTGTCAGTCACCACATTGTAGTCGGTGCTTTGAAGACTACCTACGAAATTATAAACCTGAGAGGTTAAATTTAAGCGGAGACGAAGGATTTTTGAAGCCCTACAATGATATTTGATCTCTGTGTACGAGGCGTAGTCTCTCTCCTAAACTGGGCTGGAAAAGGACGGTTTACTGGCACATTTCATGTACTCAGTAGCTATGTGCAGGAATACTTCCTTAAAAGCAATCATTTTAAAAATGAAATGATTTTAAGGAGCCAATATTCTGCAGCCATTTTCTTTGCCACATTGCTCTACTTTCATTGCTGCTTGGCCATCTGTCTGAATTCCAATCGGGTAGTAGAGACGTGGAGGAGGTGTTACCTGTTTGCACCATTCACGTATCTTCGTATAAGTCTCGCAGGATGCTACAAGATGGACATTTTCAGTTTGTTCATCTCTCAAATACCTTCTTGTAGAACAGGAAATTAGAGTGAGTAACAGAGGTGGATGCAACTTTGATAACCCTTCTGTTGTAACCCTCGATAGATTTAGGGCATCCGAAGGAAATACCCTTCTTCTGTAGTATTGTTTTAGTGACCGACCAGGAAATTCAGTTACACCTTTTTGAGTCGATTTTGCTTACCGTAGCCAAAAAAATGTTCTCAGAAAAGGCAATACCGTATATCATTGTTATCAGCGCATAAAAGGACTGGAAGGGTGTGAGCATGGTCGGAAGGCTATGTCTTTTAGCGGAAGAATAAGTCACAGAAGTCGAATCGTGGATAGTAAGTTGTCCAGATGAGGGGGCATCGCACATTCTGCTATATGATGAAGGTTTTTTTCTAAATTTCCACCTTGTTTTATGTGCTAATTGGTGGATGCGATGGTCTCCACTGTGAAGTGACGAGAAGTAGAACCCCATTTCACACGAATCGCTAGATGCATCACCCTATCATCTAGAGTGTCCTTAACGCTATTGTGGATGAATTATTTACATTATTTTTTTCGCCGCTAAAGTCTAATTTTCTAAGACTGACTTAAATTGTTTGCAAATGAACATTATGCCCATATTTCTAAGTAGCAAAGCATAAAAGTTAGAACATTGAGTTACTTCAACTAAGTACTGTTATCCCATTACCTATTGTTTTTCATGATTGGGCTCACTACCTTATTGAGCTTAATCTCTAACAACTTTAATATTTTTACTATCGTCGTTTCCTTACTAGTTCCACAACATTATTTCCTCGTAGGACCCCTAAAACCCTCCAAGCTGTTAATTTTCATGATCCTGGACTCATTTGTCTGAACCTTACAAATAGACTTGTTTCAATAAAGATAAAAGGACACAAATTTGCGATTAGTTTCCTATACTTTTCGGTATCTCAATGCGGAAGTTTGGTCTTCACTCTGGTCATATTCAAGGTATGGCGGTTTCTAATTCCAGATTGTTTGTACCATCGTTTTCAGTGAATCTGCAGCAAAAATGTTTGTATCACCAACAGCGCTTTAAGACAAATATTAAATAAAGCTGGTTTAAAATGTAATACAAATATGAATTTTTTCATTCAATTTTAAGCTAATAGAAACCCCAAATTTATGTTTAAATAGTGATCCATGATAGCATGTAATTTGCTGAAATTTGGCAACGTTTTTGGCACGAGATGCTGCTGGAAAAAAACGTTGCAAAAGTCGTAGCTTATTTCCCTTGAATGATAAGGTTTGCCTGTTTGCTTGAAATTGCACTTTAAACTTTCAAAATAAACGAAAGGGCAGGTGGAAAACAATGCTCTCATTGAAAACGGATTGGTTGATTACAGGCCTACCGTTTGCTCTCACATTGACCTCCAGGCATTACTTGACCCCACTTTTTGATGCAAATAAAGTAAAAAAAAACAAAACTGATGACTTTATTGCAGCTCCAGTTTGGTAGTTGTTTAATTACGATAATGTTTCATTGATCACCTTGTCAGGGTTTTGACAAGCACTCAAGTGAAAGCGTTTCTTTGATGTTTATCGTCCAAAAAGCAGACCTTGAACAATTGTTGTTTTTTGTCTAAAAAGTTCACTATCACCATTGGTGTGACTTTCATTTTGCGGTCTCCTTTCCTTTTCAACATAGGTGAACATCATCCCAATCATCGCGAAGGCGGACACAATGACGGTGGAGGAGTGTCGTCTCTTCAAGACCGCTGTGCAGAGCCAGCTGCTTCGCGAAGACATACACACATACGATTTCCCACTTTCCGCTATTCCTGAGACCTCTTCCGTTGCTGCTGCCACATCCAATAGTCGTATTGCCGAGGTGAAACGTCTACGGTTGCGACAACCCTTTGCCGTCTGCACCAGCTCGCATGTCATCACGAAGGAGGATGGCTCGAAGGTGGGTGTACGAAATACTTTCCTGTCTGTCTAAAGTACTGCTTGATTACCAGATCTTTACTAACCGTGTCTAGTTGAAGAATGTAGGAGTAGATTACTGTGGAACCTGAACTGCTACCGCAAATTTTTTAGGCATACGACAAAAATGCGTGCAGAGGCGCTGAAAGACATGGTCTGCAGTGGTCGCTATGATTGCTGTTTTTCATTAACCATGACAATACTACCGCAGAAAGGTGAAAAAGAAGGTCATATAGCATTTGTCCTTTCAAGACACCTCATTTCAATGGTAATTTTTTCTCGCCAACTTCGGAGGGGTCCGTCTTTCACGTCCTGTATTGAGGAGCCACATCGAAGCATCCCACTTAGGAAGTAGCGCCTAGGGCTGGGCAACAAACACAATTGTGTACTTGAGTGCTAAAGCACTAAGAAATTGTTTTGAATTTGAGTCCTACTTTTGTTTTCACTACCTACGTTTTTGTCATTTTAATGCAAACCAATCACCTACTAGGTCATTTTTTGACCCAGAGGAGCTATTGAGTCGACAGAACGTATCCAGAATACACAACTTTTTACATTGTAAACAAGTTGCTTTACAAGTGACTTCATTTTCTTTAAATCGAATCCTTCTTTCTCCCTTGTGTTAGATATTGTTCGGAACCTATGATATTACAGTCTCTAGCAATGATTTAATTTGGTTTTAATGGCTCTGATGTCAGCCTTCATATTTTTTGCTCACTCGGGCTAAATTTTCTCTTTTGTAACTACTTTAAGGAGTATTGAATCAGCTAAATCGGTGTTGCTGCTGCATTTTGGAAAGTACGTTAACCCTGATAGTAATTAAACAGAAAAAGGTTCTCAGATCATTTTTTGACGATATAACACATGGAAACAAGAAAAGAACATCTTTTTACTGATGTAATTATAAATTTTTCAAATGAACTACTAATACTCAAAGCAATTTTCCACGATCTTTTAAGATTGTGACCGTACGGGGCTTGATAAATGTGCATACGAAACAACGATGTCACTCGTACATCCAGTATGGGTGGTTTGGGATTGAAAGTCACAAAAAATATTTTTTCACACGTAGGGAGCATAGCTGCAGGGACCTGGATGCGAAATGCCTCTGCATAATGCTTGAAATGATTTGCGCCTGGTACAGCATTGATGTAGGTAGGCTCCTGGTGGTGAGGAAGGTGTTCTTAAATGGCGCTATAAAATCCTCACTGGTTGAGGTTTTGCGCAGATGGAGTTTTAAAATACTTTTCTGTCATTAATCTGGCAGCAGTAAACACTCTCTTTGCAATAAATTAACTAGGCGTGACATGACGTGGTTCCCTCCAAACTATTGGTAACAAGTCGTTCGCTAAAATTCCTAGCTTTCCTAAAATTCTGACAAATGATAATAATGATGATGATGCTATGTGCTAAGAAATACACGCGCAATTGGATTTAAAACCGGTCTTTTTACATGAACAATTATTTGCTTTTTACTAAGGGGCTATAATTAAGTGCTTGATGTAAGGAATAACATTTTCCTTTAAAAAAATGAAGTGCTCTGTTTAAACGTATAAACTCATGATCAAAGTGTATGGAAGAAACGTGCTGTTCCGCATAACACCATTTTGAGGAATTCATTCTTAAGATTGGCTATCTGATGGAGCTGAAGTTGTTAAAAATACCGACAATGTCAAAACTTCAAAGATGCTACCGTATCAGTCCGTAATTAGCCGCACTACCAGTGCTCAGAAGCCCTCGGACACCCACCGAGCATGACACCAAACAATGATTACGGCCAAGGCGTGCGTATGTCAATCACTTTTGAGAAGTTGTTGGGAGAGGTGAATCTGGTAGAATATGGTAATGCTCTCACAAGAAAATACAGGGAACAATGGTACGGAATTGGCAGTGAAAATAGTTACGGTTAAGGAGTATAAGAGGCCGCTGCCTTTCCATTTCCATATTCTTTGGAGTGGTAAATCATTCGATTTTGGAAGAAGAATTGTTACTGGCGCACAAAAGGCCAGAGAGGGTTACAGTTTTAATAACTAAACCTGGATAGTTTCTTTTGGAATACTTTACCTTTCCTAAGCGCATTCCAAAGTGACCACTATGCATCATAAGGCATAAATATCCGCCTCAGTCTTTCGTTATTTCCTATTGCGCCCTTTATTCTGAATGTCCATATCATAAAACGTCAGTTGAATGAGCCTGATCGATGTGATTTGACACTTTTTTTCTTTACTAACCGAGCCTAACCCAACCCAAAGGGTGAAATTGAAAGTAGTCACTCGTCATATTTGTTGTTTGGCGTCCGAAGTAGGTGCGACGGTGGCAGAAATTACGTTCTCAGAAACTATTTGATTAGTCTGATTCTGAGCATGAAGATGCATTACTCTATGATTGATGGATCTGGTTGAGGGGACCCCTCCATTCCTAATACCAAAGAACTATATGCCCCCCAAGGATTTTAAAGTTTCTAACGGGTAACGTATCGTGAATACCTTATTTAATGTGCCTTCAGGGTTAAATCAGTTGTTTTACAACCCCATCAACTGGGAACTAAAAGTCTTGGTGGAAGCCAAGTTAGGTGGCTCCATCCGCATGCCATGCACTAACAAGAAATGACATTGAATTCCAAAAAATTTCCATCCGTCGTGAGGACACACCGCACATCTTAGACTGCTATCTAGTTGGTCGGCTAATTTGTAGAGGTAAATGGCTTTATGCTGAAAAGTGCGTTAAGCAAACGAGGTGATCACTCTGTGGTGGATTGTTGACGCAATTGTTCAAGGGGAATTTACTGTTAAAGACCAAATAAAAGCATGCAAGAAAACGTAGGGAAAGTTGAGTCACGTCGATCCAGTTGGATGCAGGTTTTTTCTTACAAGACATCCTACGAACT